GGGGCTGGGCTTGAGCCCACCAACCTTGGTATATGGGGCCGGCGCCCTACCCACTGAGCCACAGGCAGCACCTGATTTAATTCTTTTAGTTGTTTTTTCTAAATATAAACCCTCACTATTTTTCTAAATAGTGCACCCTCTGTGCGCTATTTTAGTCAGACTAGCTCACTCATCTGTAGAGCGTGTGGCGATGGCTCTGTGTTCCCACCTTGCAGTGACCTGCTCTGTGCAGACACCAGCAAACTTCACTGAGCCCTGCCCAAACAGCCTCTTGCTTCTCACCACCCATGCTTCTTGCCTCACATCAGAGCCTCCCAATGGACCCTGAGATGTCACCGTACCCACCTGATGACTATGTTTGCTTAACTCAAAATGTGAAGTGAAACTTTGACCAATAAGATGTGGAAGCTGATGAGTAAGTCTTCTGTCTTCCCCCTACAGCAACAGACTGTCTCAAGTCATGGTCATTTACACAGCCTCTGACCTGGATGGTCTTATTGACACAGAAGCATCAGTTGTGGTTAACATCAAGGGCGGCTGACTTGCTATCAAGAGTTAATACCTTGGCAACTGCCTTTGATTAGTGTTCACCCTTCCTACCTCAGTCCCCATCCTCTCATTTCTCCTAATAAGGGAACAGCCTTCACTCCAGGTTCTGCTTTTTGTGGAACTCAGGTTAAGACAATCCATATATCTAAACATAGATAAACTCTTACCTTTTTATTTTTCAATTTAAAATATTATCACTTAACTTTTTCGGGGGCACCTGTGGCTCAAGGAGTAGGACGCCAGCCCCATATACCGGAGGTGGTGGGTTCAAACCCAGCCCTGGCCAAAAACTGCAAAAAAAAAAAAAAAAAAAAACGAAAACTTTTTCTCGTGAATAATGAAGATTTGTGTTTATGTTTTATAACTGAGTATGAGTTGCAGATGAGGGACATTGTATATGCTAGGGTATATTTCTTTTCTTTTTCGTTACTTAATTTTATGTATCTATCACTAATTCAACTTCCTAGTCTCTGACAGAACACTCAAACTTTTCTCAGTGTAGTCACACATGACATGGAATCTGTGAGTCTCTGTGTGTGTGTGCACGTGCACATGTAGGCTTATTCTTTCTTATTCATCTTTTTGGCCCCGTCGTAACTTGCTTTCTAGGTTAGCTGCACAACTGTCATCCTGGAATATGTTTTCACCATCATTGTTGGAATTCAGCTTATTTTACTCTGGTTTTTTGGGTCTTCTATTTTGGGGATTTCACAACTTCTGGAAAGAGGATGATAGATAAGAAGCCTTACTTTCCGGCTCTTTGAGAAACTCTGTGTGGCTACATGAATAGTTCTCATCAATGGAATGGTAGCAGAAGGGACGCGTGCTATTTCAGCACCAAGGCTTCTGTGAAACAGGTGAGCTTCTTCTATGCTTTACCTTTCCCCTCTGCAGGCTAGATAGTAATTAACGAGGGAATGCCAGAGCCACTAAAAGGAATGATCTTGGGCATCTAAATCATTACGTGGAAGCGACTTCCTTTACTGCCTTGAATTTCTTTGTGAAATATAAATTTCTGTTGTGTTGAAGCCTTGGGCCTTGAACTTTTTTATTTTTTAATTATGAAACCATGGTATCATTTAATTTAATGTCATATGGGCCTTCTTGGGCCCTATCTATCATAGTGAAAATATGTTACTTATTTATGCAGAATTTTCTTTGGTAATTTCTTTGCTAATGTATTCCATTGCACATTTTCACTTCCTTCTTTCTAGAGCATCACTTAGGCAGATGTAGATCTCTGAATTGATCCTCTAATTTTCTCATTTTTTTTCTTTCTGTCATCCAAACTTATTTTTGGCAGGGGGGGATAAAGACTAGGAATGTTCTCAAGTTTACCTTTTGACATATATAATACATTTTAAATTATATCCCAAGTTTTATTTCTAAAGCTCTTTTCTCTGATTTATTTTTTTTCTAGCATGGGCTTCCTATTTCATGCTGGACTATCTTTACTTGTCTTTCTGTGGGTCTTAATTATAACTGTTTCAAAGTTTTCTTCTGCTTCCTGAATTTTTTCTGTTTCTTCTAAATTCATTTCATC